AAGAGTAGGGGAGAGGGAAGGGAAGGAAGGAAGAGATAAGGAGAGGAGAGTGGAAGGGAGAGAAGGAGAGAGGGTAGGAAGAGAAAGAAAGGAGTAGGGGAGAGGGAAGGGAAGGAAGGAAGAGATAAGGAGAGGAGAGTGGAAGGGAGAGAAAGAGAAAGGGTAGGAAGAGAAAGAGAGGAGTAGGGGAGAGGGAAGGGAAGAAGGAAGGGGGAAGGAGAGGAGGGTGGAAGGGAGAGAAAGAGAAGGAGAGAGGGTAGGAAGGGGAAGAGGAAGAGTAGGGGAGAGTTAAGGGAAGGAAGGAAGAGGTAAGGAGAGGAGAGTGGAAGGGAGAGAAAGAGAAAGGGTAGGAAGAGAAAGAGAGGAGTAGGGGAGAGGGAAGGGAAGAAGGAAGGGGGAAGGAGAGGAGGGTGGAAGGGAGAGAAAGAGAAGGAGAGAGGATAGGAAGGGGAAGAGGAAGAGTAGGAGTAGGGGAGAGTTAAGGGAAGGAAGGAAGAGGTAAGGAGAGGAGAGTGGAAGGGAGAGAAGGAGAGAGGGTAGGAAGAGAAAGAGAGGAGTAGGAGTAGGGGAGAGGAAAGGGAAGAAGGAAGGGGAAGGAGAGGAGGAAGGAAGAAAGTAGAGAAAGGAGGGAGGGAGAAAAGAAAGGGAAAATAAGTGGTGTTACAACAGGAGGAAGGGATGGTAAATAAAGCAACTCAAACTGTGTATTATAACCTATCAAACGAAATAATAAATGTATAAGAATTATAAATGTAAAGAAGAATTATGTGAATGTATACTTAAAATGGTATGTAAGAAAACAAAAAATAAAAAATTTTCTGAGGGGAAAAAAGACCAGACACCCTCCAAATGCCAAGGATGGGTTGGTATGGAAGCATTGGTTCCTTTTTTTATGACATTGCTCAGATTTCCATCAAGGGCAGGCCGAGAAGAAGGAAGACATTCTAACCGACGCGAAGACTTTTCGTCCCCCACGCATTTCTCTTGCAAATGAAGGCGACTCCGGAAGATACAGATAATAAATTTCAAACAAAAATAATAAATTCTGGGGCCCCAACAGCATTTGGGAGACGACAACGGAGGAAACTGGGGGTGCAGAGACAAAAAAAAGGGACTCCCTTTCTCACACTTACAACCGCCGCGGTTCTGTGATCGAAATTCAGACGCTTGCCAACCGACTCACATATACGACGGCTGCACTGTCCCGGGGTGATGCGATTCCCCCTTCTGGCAAGCAACCATCAATGGGAAAGGGCAGGTTCACATAATGACTGTGTTACTAACTTAACGGTCGCAATGATTCACTTAACATCCGTGGCGGGAGAGGTCACAAAATGAGGCAAAACTCAGCTAATAACAGCTGTCTCGCTTAGCGACAGAGGTTTGGGGCACAATTGGGGGCCATAAGTCGAGGATTAACCAAGCACCTTTGTGCTCAAAAGCCTTGGAAAGCTGCCTGGGCTAAGAGGGGCTTCTCTGCTCTTCTCAGACCCCCAAAGTCTCCTCTTCGTTCGAAAATGGGGCCCTGGACCATCTCAGCCAGCAGCACAGATGAAGCTTCTCCAGCCAACATGGGGTAGACCCCCAAGAGCACCAGGCTGGAGCCCTTCCCTGCCCCACTCTCCTCTGTCAGAGTTGAAGAAGCTTATCTAACAAAACGAAATTCAATGGTGAAAAAGAGTCGGGTTCTACATTTAGGCAAGAAAAACGAAATGCGCAGGTACAGTATAGGTCAGGGATGGCGAACCTGTGGCACACGTGCCACAGGTGGCACGCGGAGCCATTTGTCAGGGCACGCGAGGCGTTGCTCTGTCAGCTGGCCAGCGCGCATGTGCCCGCTGGCCAGCTGAGTTCACCCTTTTTTAAAGCCATTTTTCGCCCTCCCCAGGCTCCAGAGGCTTTATAGGAGCCTGGGGAGGGTGAAAAATAGCATGGAAAAATGNGGAAAGATCCAGACATTCGGAAGTGGGGTTTAAATAATCACAGAGAAGTCTCTGCCAGCTTGGTAGGGAGTTTCGTCAAGCCCAGAATAGGGATTGTGTCAGGCGGGTGTGCATCGGTATACAAACAGACACACACACAGACACATCTGCAGTTCAGATTCGGGTGACCAGAGCAGTCCAGCGGCGCCATTCAGGGATGGGGCACGGGGGCTGACCACGGGACCAGCGGAAACCGTCATGGGCTGCTGCTGCTGCTCAGGTGCTGGGGGTGTCCAGGGCTTCGGCGTAAGTGATTATCCGTTTTGGGTCTGGAAAAAGAAAGAACAGAGTCCGAGTGAACCGGACGTCCGGCGTGTCACTCCCGCAGCGCACACACCCCTCCCCCCCCCCGATTCCAGCATTAGCAAAGATCAGTGACGCCCCAAACCCAGCCGTGGTCCAGTCAGCCCGTATGATCAAGGGTCCACTTATTAGAAATTCTGTTTACATATAGCACCACAGATCAAACAAAGAGTACAATCACCATGTCCTTTACTGCTTAACTGTCTTAATTGTAATAGGAAACTCTACTTAGAACGAAAGAGCATAGAGCATATACCAGTGGTGTCAAACTCAAGGCCCGGGGGCCAGATCCGGCCCGCGGGGTGCTTAGATCTGGCCCGTGGGGCCGTCCTATAAACAGCAAAGGACCAGCCCGTGGTGGCTCTGCCAGTGAAAATGGAGCTCGCAGGCGGATCTCCCAACTCTGTTTATGCTGGCAGAGGGATGCAGGAAGCTGTCGCAGCCAAAACCACAGCTCAGGAGCCCGTTTTTGCTGGCGGAGCACTTGGGCCACCACGGGCGCCTCCGACACAAGTGATGTCGAGCTGGCCACGCCCATCCTGGCCACGTTCACCCTGCTCCCCCACCTCCCCAAGGTCAAACACAACTTTGATGCGGCCCTCAATGAAATCAAGTTTGACACCCTGGTATAAACCATAGAGACAAACTTGTATAAACACTGCCATCTACTGGTTGAATACTACTCTAACGCAGTGTTTCTCAACCTTGGCTACTTGAAGATGTCTGGACTGGCTGGGGGATTCTGGGAGTTGAAGTCCAGACATCTTCAAGTAGCCAAGGTTGAGAAACACTGCTCTAACGGTTGCACAAAAATACATTCCAACAATGAATTCCAACACCGCTCCATTAAGTCAAACCTGGCCCCCTTAAGACCTGTGGACTTCAACTCCCAGAATGCTGGCTGGGGACTTCTGGGAGTTGAAGTCCACAGGTCTTGAAGTGGCCAAATTTGGAGACACCCTGCATTAAAGGGGATCCCCTCGGGTGCTGGCCGTGGGGTGAAGTGAATCCCCGCAGCCAGTTCTAAAGGAATCGTGGCTGCAT